ACACATAAAAACTCAGATCGGTGACAGAATAATAAAAGGAATTTAAACCCAGCAGACTTTAAAGTGACAATAACTATAATACAAATGCATGAGGAGGAGCTCACAGTCTGAGGTCAATAATCACTGTTTCATCATCAAATGAAAACAGCAAATGCTAAAATAATTGATCCGTTTGCTTTTAGGTTGAACTCAGTTACCCACGCTGAATTGTTAAGTTTCCTGCTCTGGTTTAGGATAAATGATCCTGATTAGAAATTCCCAGGAATCCATTCAAACTGCCACTGACTGCGTATTTTCACATAATGTGCTGCCACATAATGAGTAGGATGAAAAAAACCAGCTCCGCGGTGGAACAACTGTGTGTGACATTCATTTCATTCAATTCAGCTAACACAATCAGAGACACGCCGTACACGTGTACACACTCAACACACAAACACACAACGGCAAGTGCACAGACGCACAAACACACACACCCAACGACTCATTCAAATTCATTGTGTGCAGTGACAGTGCAGTTGCCTGCAGTGTTGAGTGTTGAGAAGGGCTGCAGCTGGGATGAGCCCAGCTGCCTACCGATGGCTCTGAATGCTAAAAGGGCTCACAAATGGGTCAGGGAAGGAGCTAAATAGGAGTTTGTCTAATTATGGAGTTGCCACGCACCCGACCAATCGGATCGAAGGACACAAAGACCAGTGAAACAACTGGCTGCAGACCGGCTTTAATTAATGGATTTGGTTTTTATTGGCTGTGGTCTAGACTGGCCGCTAATTGGCTCCTACCGTAAGCAGCAGTTAGATGCAAGTGGGTCAGTGTGAGGAGAGCTAACAGGAGCATATACGGGAAGGAGCTGCATATAGAATGTCAAATGTGTTATTTATAACAACAACAGAGTCACAAAAACAGTTCAGCCAGTCAAAATCAAGCCTTTTGTATGACCTTTTGACCTTTAGTGTCATAAATCTGAGTTTCCCACTTGAGTGGAAACTAATCAGTCCAATCAAACCTTGAGGCAAAATGAGCCATCATATTTGATGGCTCCTGTTGTGGCCAAATATATTCATAATATCCATTTGAGTAATTAAAGATGGCACAGTTATATTTTTAATCCCTGTGGGACTGTGGTGCCGTCTAATAGACACCATTTAAATTCCATATTAATTATTTGGATGAAAAAGGAGGTGGGGGGGAGGTATTTGTCTGAAAACCCACCACGCAGAAAATTTAACTACAGAAAATTTGATCTCAGAAGGTAATTTAATCACTCTCCAGAGCCAGAAACACTAACCTTGTTTCAGGTTACTGAGTCCAGAGCTCTGCAAATGGTGGGTGTAATACATATATTTTTTTCCAGGGTTTGTCTTGAGGTGATGCTGCCATCTTCTGGTATAGACCAGTATATTATAAAGAAAGAGCAGCGTCTGCTCACTGGGGGTTGCACTGTGGTTCATAACATTTGCACCACAGCTTAATCAAGCGGATAATGAGCAGTAAGATTTAAAATGATGTGTGTGTGTGTTGTTCAGTAAGCTGAGATTTTCTATATATTTTTTGCCAAGCAAACAGATCAATAATCATCACAAAGTTCAAGGTCAGATGATGATGGATGCTGGCTGAATGTATTGATAATTTTTGACATTTCCTCAAACACACACACACACATTCACGAGCACTGACACGGACACATACACACATACACAGCTACAGACCAAAATAACAGATATTAATGTACTGATCATGTCTAATCTGTCATAATTAATTCCATAGGGAAAGCCAAGATGAGAGCAATCCTCCTTTTCCACAGATAAATAATTCAACATGAGGAGGAGGTGGAGGAGCCAAGATAAATGAGCGTGGGGAAAGGAGCTAGCAGTCACAGGCTGAGGCTAATCAGAGCCCTTTCTTAGAAAATAGTACAGGTTAACTTAAAGTAATAGTTGTATGAAAATTACGTGTGCCTGCAATTAGGCTGAGGTTGACACAGCAGGTCAGTGAAGCTTGGAGGATTTGTTTATGACACGTTTGAATAAGGCTAACAAAGTGAAGTGTTAACACAGTGAATCCACAGGAGGAAAATCAAACATTCACCCTCTTGATCTCTTTAAGGTGTATCCACTGTAATGTTGGTCATTAACATTTAAAAAAGGCCAAATCTGGCTAAGACGTTAACACAGATCACAAGCAACATAAAACAACAAGTGGATTAATCGAGATAAATTAACATTTAAATTATTAAACTATGTAGAACTAAAACCAAAACAGTAGATCTTAGTCAGTGCTGTGCATTTTGACGGTGGTTGTTTTGGACGTGTTGTGTGTTCCTGGGTGTAGAGATGGTATTTAAAGTTGTAGACGCCTCGGTGAATTTGAAACCTTTTCCCACAGTTTTGTGCAAAACAAACGTGAATCGACCCAGTTGTGTTTTCATTTTTTCTCTGACATTATACACAGCTGTACACAGACACAAGGAAACACAAACACGTATGTTTTAATGGTTGTGAACTAAACTGTAATGAGACTTATTCATAAGTTCAATCAACTTAAACACGTTCTCTGCACATTTCCTTTTCTTTTTACAAGTGATACCACAATGAGTGTCAACATGTCAGTATTCAGACAATCTCTCTGTACAACTCCTAAATATTAGGAAATACCTATGAAACTTCATCTTTGGTATTGAATGAATAAAACCGTTTGTTTTCTCTGACTACAGCAGCTCAACAGTGTTGGTCTTTACAGGTTTGTGATTCAGCTTCCTTAACACATTTGAATGTTTCCAAACATAAATTAAGTTCACTTTAAAGTTTAAAGGCAAGACAGAGATAAAAAAAAAGAAAACTGCAGCAGTTTGTTGTGCAACAAACTTTAACACTCTGCTGGATTTGCAGCAACTTCTACCTGTGAATCTAAACCAGCATTAGTCATAATACTGAGAGATCATCATCACCTATGATGTTGTGTTAAAAACATCAGACAACAACAGGGATGATTGTCAAAAGCCTTCCAGGAAGTGATGTTTTGAAGAAACAACTGTCTTGAGTTAGAAGAAGGTTTCTCTGCAGAGGGGACAGGTGGACTTGTTGCTGGAGGTGAACCATTTGTACTGTAAAATAACAACATGACGACCATTAACATTGCTGCACCACTGACTCATTGTGAGAAATCATTTTGCCGAGCGTTTACAGCCGTTTTCCAATTAAACAACAACTCACCAGACATGCAGAGTGGAACTTCTTCTTGCAGGTCCGACAAGCCTTTTTGGGCAGCGAGTAGTTGGAGCCGTGGATAACTGAAAAGCAGATCATGCAATCTTCGATTCCCTCAAAGCGTTTGTCCACATTGTTCTTCCACAGAGCCAGGCCTTCCATGATGCTGCCGTTCTGCTCACACAGAAACAGTGACACATTAAAAATCAAATCATCATTTTTGGTATCATCGGATGAACAGACTTTCTGACTTATGGTGACGATGTTTACCTGATGTGTGAGGTAGGTGCTGAGCTGCAGCATCCAGTTCCTCCACTGCTGTACGGCCACACCCACACGTCTCCCACTCTCTACACAGATGGTGCCCAGTGGGTAGTTCTGTGGCAGCTGAATCACCAACTCGATGAAGATGTCGTCCACGGAATAGGTGGCGATCACTTCCCTGGCTGCAGAACGGGCCTTTACCTACAATGGGGAAAAAAATAAAGAAGGTTTTATAGGTCAGCTATAAAAATGTGTAATTTAAAATCTGGCTAACTCACCGTCATGCTGTCAAACATCTGCGTGCTGGCATGAACAGAGGAGATCTCCTGAGCTGAGAGAACAGGACTGATGTATTTGATGGTGAACTTCTCCACAGCTGAGCTCACTCTCTTCTCTCGGCTGTTCCACCACAGTCGCACCATGGCAGGCAGGTCCTGCACTGTGCTGTAGTACACACTGCACGCCAGGTGAGGGAGCTCCCAGTCAAGGCTGTCACTTTCTGTAGCAAAGAATTTGTGAATAAAAAAAAAACAGCTTGTGTTCAAATTTTAAATGAAGGTACTGAGGCAGTACTGGAGTGGTCTGTACTCACTGTCCACAGACAGAGACAGACTCTCTGTGAAGAAGGTCTTGGTCTCCTTGGTCTCCACACCCTGGCCGGGATAAACTGGATTCTCAGGCATGAGTTTGAAGAGATGCAGGAGGAGTTTGTCCAAGGAACAGCTACTCCTCAGGTACTGGGCGTAATGTGCACGAAGCTGGGCAAAAATCAGTCAGTGGTTAGTACTAGGACTATTTATATGTTTTGACATTTTTAATATATATATATTATCAATATAACATTGATTTATCATAAGTAAAAAAATATGATTAATTTTGATCATGATTAAACAACAGCAAACCAGTGATTATTCTAATTAAAGCTTTTATAAAGCTTTATAAACACAGTCTATATGTGAAAAGGCAGTGTGACTTGACTCACATGGGATGGTGAAGATTTGAAAAAAGTAAGAAGCAGTTTCCAGGTCAGCAGATATCCCAGAATGCAAGAGTGTTCCATACTCAGAGGCTGGACCACTGCAAACTCTCCTACGTCAACTGCAGCCAGGATACTGTCACAGAGCTCCTCACAGGTGGACAGGATGGACATCAGAGCAGCTGGAGGAGAACTGATCACAAGACTTACATGTAAGAAGAATTATTTAGAAAGAAATAAAAGACACAGGTGGCTGTCTTCCTACGTACAGACAGGGTTCCTCCCTATCATCTTCAGTCCTGCTGTTGTCTCCTTCTCCATCACACTCTGGCAGCTGGGGCATCACCCTACAGTGACAGGAGGAGATGTTTGTTCGTTTATTCACAGTTTAAATGGAGCAGTATAAGTGATATCTGAAAGACATCTTTACTTTTCCAATAGATGGTAGACGATGATCTGCAGAGATCTGGCCTTGAATAACAACAGAGGACAGAGGGTATTGAGGAGCGTCTGCAGCGACTCTGGCAGGTTTGTCGTCTGATCCGCTATGAACCGTGGAGGAAGTGTGTTTTTGACCAGATGCTCTGCTGGAATGTAGGTCAGGGCCAAACCAAGTGACTGCAGCACCGAGAGAGGGAACGTGGAATCATCCGGCTCAGGGAAGGCATCTTCAATAGAATAGAAAACAAACAGTATGAAGATGGAAATTTACTACAAAGGATCGGATCATCATTTTTAGTTGTGTGCGTCGCAGCATTACCTGTGATACTCAGAGGCAGAGGCAACAGCAGGTTGTAGATTCCCTCCACAAAGAAGTCTGTCCACTCAGCCTTCAGCTCTGGAGGCAGTTTCTCCAGAAGCTCAGGTGAAACTGCTGCAAAAAACTGATTCAACTTCACTATCAGCACAGCGTTCTCACACGCAAACAGCTGCACCCACGGGTTCCACAAACTGCTCACGTTCTCACTGATGGTCTGAGGATACAAAGATAAGAGCAAACGAAAACCAAACAAAATATTAAGCCAGTACTTTTGGCTAAATTTAGTCAGGATATAATGAACTGTTATTAAAACTTGAAACCAAACTTTGAAAATCCCCTCTATGAAAAAATTGAACCTCTAAGTCCTACAGGATCTCACCTCCAACCAGGCCAACATGGAGCAGAGCACAAAGTCCCACTGGCTGCTGCCCAGAATAGTGGGACAGTCTGTCACCAACCAGGACAGGAAACGCATCATCTCCACAGAACGGTTGAGCTGCTCTGCAGAGGCTGTGAATAGATCACTGACAGACACAAAAGTGACAAGTGTGAGAATATAAGCTGAATAGTGTTTCCTCATTCTAGTAATGGATCAGTAAGCATTTATATGGTTGATTGGTTGGTTGGTTGGTTGATTAAAGTACCTGCCAAAGAGGAACCAGTCCTCCCGACTATTCCTCCACTCCATCATTGTGGCCAAAACAGCCTGCAGAACCTCTTGCTCTACTTCCGTTTTGGCTTTTAAGCAACACATCAGTGTCACCAGGCAGCCATAAACATCTGTGAAACAACAATTAGCATTTGTTTGTTGAAAACAACATACAATCTGGAATGTACTGCATGTACATGTACTGTATGTCATATTATCCTTACCATCATCCTCCTGCCAGTTAATGATTGCAGCCGTGGCCAGAGTTACGAGAATCTCTCTGTCTTTGGTCGTCATGGTCGGGCAGAGCACCTGCAGCGTGCTAAGTTTGCTCTGAGAAACTGGGAACCAACTGAGCAGAATGTTTAAAATTTAAACATGGTTTATGAATGTCTGTATAATTTTGTGGAATTGGAAATATAAAAAGTGCTTTATAATCAGTGACCTACCTTTCCTCTGTGTTGTAAAGCTGTCGCAAAGCTGCACTGTTAGTGTTTGCCAGGTTGTTGGTGTGGATGTAGTTTTCTAGAGTCAGAGACCACAGACCACCTTCTTCTATTGACCTGCGGTGTGACAAGACAATTCACAAATCATTAAGTGGAAGTATTTGGATTTTTTTTTTTGAGGCAGATAAGACTTAATCTGTTTAATCACATAGCAGCTCTGGATTATTCATTATTAATTCTGATTATTAGTAGATTTCGGTGAAGTAGTGTCAACAGTATATAGGAGGGACAATAAGTGGACAGACAATGGAATTTTTGGATTATGTGCGTCAGTCTGCCCGTGCATTTAAATTAGTTACATTTTTTAAAAATACGATTAATTTCTCAAATGACTTAACAGGCATTGCAGTGCTTGTTTTAGCACCTAAATCCAGTTTGTGTTTTCTTTAATTTGAATAAGCTGAAATATCCAGCGATTAACCTCACCTTGAGTATAATATCTGCAGCAGACTATTCATTGGAACCAGGTTGTGTAGCCCGTCTGACAGCCCACAGTCAGTCAGAAGTTTGTGGTAGGAGGACACCAGAGGAAGGCTGCATACAACCTCCTGACACCACTGAAGAGCGTACTGAAACTCTGAAGCTGTCAGTACAAAACAAAGAGAACACAGGTTTAACAGAATAATATTTTGTCTTTCACATGAATTCAGCTTTATTCCACATTCTGTGTGTGTGTGTGTGTACGTGTAACTATAATCAATGACAGGTGACAAAGACGCTGTGTTTTTGCTTCATTGTAAGGTTGGGCCGCAAACGTCCTGGCCACAGTGGCCAACAGGGCACAGCTACACAGATGGGCCGGCAGCCCACTGGTGCCTCTGAACTTCCACACGTCTATGGTGGAGTGTTCAAAAACGCCTCTGAGACGACTGTGCAGTAGAGGTGTCTTGACCCACTTCAAATTACAGAACAGAAGACAAAACACAGCAGTATTACAGTAACGTCACACTTTACACAGCTCAGACCTTACATCCAACCTCATCAGAAATGTGTTGAGTTTTTATAGAGACAGTGGAGGTCGACTCACCTGAGGAGGCAGAGCCTGTCGGACTCGTGTCCATTCTGCCTGACTGGGCATCAACAGTGTGAAGAGTTGAAGGATGAACGAGGAACTTTCACCACAGACAGAAACAATTGTCTCAGCCAGATTCTCTACAGCCAAAACCAGAGCCTCCAAACTAAGCCAAGCACAGGAACATGTTTGTTTTTTTTTTAAACTGGGAAAATCTTTCTGATTATAAGGTTACAAAAAGAGAAAAATGAAACACGAGTATGAAATACTCTGCTTTTGTTACCTTTTAATGTCTAGAGAAACAGTGAGAAGTCGGCTTTTCACCCACACTGCCACACTGTGCAGGAAACCTCCTTCCTTCACCTCATATTCAGAGTTCTGGAACAACGATCGAGTCCCAGCGACACACACTCTCCTTAGTTTATCTAACAGGGAGTCTGTAAAAGCAGATTAGACACAGATGACACGGTCCCTTCATCTGTGGACCACAACCATAATGTATGAAAACTGTGTTGGAGCCTACCAGTCAGGTGAGTTTGAGACTGGTCCTGGGCTGTGAGCTGGAATACACTGAGCAGGAGTTCCTCTGCAGACAGCAGTAGAATACAGTCTTGTACCGAGGAGAAAAAAGTGGAGGCTACGTCACAGATGAAGGAGACCAGCGGCTCCATGTTCCCTGCGTCTGACAGACTCTTGGTCTCAGAGAGAGTAGCGTGGAGTTTCTCCAGGATCTTCTCCATGTACACCTCTCCTATCAGAGACTCTGCATGCAGAACACATGAATGGATTTAGACGTCAGCCTACCTAAAGAAAACATTATTTAGCACTGTCTGTGTGTGTGTGTGTGTGTCTGTGTATGTGTGTGTGTGTAAGTAATTACCATTGTTGTGATGCTGAGAGAGGACCAAACTAATAAGTGTCCAACTGTGGTTGCTTGTAGAAGATGAAGCACGTCCCACCTTGCAGAGCTCCTCTGTCAATCCCAGGAGCTGCTCACCCAGGACTGACCCTTTCAGCCAATCACTGCAGCTTTTAAGAGTCCGAGCATCTGCACAGGCCTGAAACCACACAACAGGGACCTTTATACATATAATTACACGATGAGACCGTCCAGGTGCCCTGTACTCCTCTACTGCTTTGGCAAAAATGAAAGACACAAAAAGAAATGATACGTACTCTCTGTATAACTTGCAGGATAATTCTCCAGTCTAAGTCAATCTAGAAAGCAGATAAAAAAAGAATCTTTAGAACAAAACAAAAGCAACAGTCCAATCAGACCTACTGGCAAAGATCAAGTCAAAGTCTTTCTGTTACCAGGGTGATGTGGTTGAGAATTTTGGTCATTTCCTGTTGGCTGCAGCAGTGGAGCGAGCTGAACATCATCTCCACCAGGTGCTCCGTGTCTTTGCGTCCCTTCTCTGCGAGCCACAGCACCACCCATTCAAGCAGAAACTGCACCGCAGGATTTTTTAAATTCACGTCAACTCTCCGCTCACTCTCCTTTGGCGTTGTCTCATCCAACTCGACCAGCGCCTAAAACCGCAACAGTTAAAGACAAAGTTATTCAGACTAGGTCCGGTGTGATCTAAACTCAATACTCTCTTCATAAAGATAAGAAGAATGCAATGCAAATGCTATTGGTGCAGACACACCTAGCTGCAATAAACATAACTGACAGTCCACTGTTGTCAAATACAACTTACACTGAAGACCCTGGGTGTGTGGAAGGAGCGAAGGAGGAGTGAAAGAAAAACAAGATGTCTCTCTGAGTTTCTCTCATTTACATGCACCAGGCACAGCTGCGCCAGCTGGCAAACAACATCCTCTAAACGCTGGGTCTGTAGAGAACAAAGTGTCTTCTCATTCCCAGTGTCTGACACCGTCTGCACGGGCTTCTCAGCATCATTCGCCTCAAGCCCACTTTTCTCATCGCCCTCAGGCCTGGAGAAACAGATCTTGACAGATTTCTTTTTCTGGATGCACTTTCTGTTTACTCTCTCGGGGCAATGCATCACCTGGCGACAGAAGAAGAACGTAAGAAAGGGTTTGTTTAGACGTTGCTCTCTCCTTCACGCCATTCGCTATTAAAATTGTGAAAGACTCTGACAGAAAATCGTGATTTGCCTGTTTCCTTGGCACCAACATGGAAATTTCCATAGGTGTTATGTCTGAACCAGTGATTCTCAAAACCCTAATCTCACCTGCAGCATGGTGGCTACTCCTTCCAAAGCCTGTTGATCTGCTTCTTCTGTGTCAACATGACGTAAGAAGAGGAGGCCAAGCTCCTCCCAAAAGTCTGTCAGAAGGGCTTGAAAGATGCCCTGACTAATGTTTGTTTCAATTTCACTGGCTGAAGCTGCCCTCTTTTCCCAGGAAATGAGCATTTCAGTCACCAGAACAAAGAGAGGACCATTCTGGAGAGAAGGATGTTCAAGGGCTTTTTCCAGTAGAGGCAGGAGCTGCAGGAAAACAAACAACACAATGTTAGATGGCAGAGGCTTAATTTTCCCAGAAGGGAGAAATGTGTGTGCCATCCTGCGATCCCACCTGCTGTGAAATCAGCATGGTCCTGATTTTCCTCTGATTCTCCTCTTGTTCTGCATTGTGTAGGATGCAGTACCTCAGGCACTCCACCACAGAAGTCACGATGACGGCACTTTCTGATGTACTGGTTGCAGCACGCTCACTTGAAATTCTGAAAAATAAGGCAGAGATATTTGACATTATGTGGGATACACAGGGTCAAGTGGTCTCTTCTGCACATACTTGATATCTGAATGGGTTGGTTGATAAACAAAGAACTTTACCAAAATGGTATTTACAGAATTCTAGGATTTTTTTGCTCATTGCTCCAGTTCAGGAGCATTACACGGCATAATAACAGCTTTGAAATATTTAAAGAATGATTCAAATGTTAGCTGCTGAGTAATCATTATTAATTGAGATAAATCAACATGATGTAATGTGACAAAAATGTGTATGTTGCTGAAACAAAAACAAAAGAAAAATATTCAAAACTATGTTAGAAGGGTTTACTCACTCATTTTCACTTTTCAAAACTTCTACAATATTAATTAAAAATAGTCACATGATGTCATTTGTTTTATTTTTCATATATATAAAAATGGATACACATGTAAGGAGGAAAAGAAATTACCCCTGTGTGAGAGAGGTGAAGAAGGTGGTGTAAAAGTCCAGGGTTGGGTCTGTGACTTGCTGCGGCAGTTTACTGAGAAGTGGCATTAAATTAGGGTGAAGGGCTTTAGCCATGCCTTTGCCACCATCTTTGAGTAAAGCCCAAAGTTTAGGCAAGAAACCCTTCTTAGCATTTACATGTGTCCAGCAGTCCTGAATAAAAAAAACAAAACAAACAGAGACATAACAGATTATGGATAAATAATTCTGGTCTACTGTCACAATGGATGACATTAACAAATTCAAAACTTACAGGTATCATAGACACAACATGGAGAACAGCTTCCCACACTGGAGGCAACACGACGGGATCAGTGTCATCGATGCTGAGGAGAACAGCAGGGCAGAGTCGTGCAGCCTCAGCCTGAACCAGAGCTGGTGTGAACTCACACAGAGAACACAGCATCTCAAAAAAGGCCCCTCGCACCTACGTAGGAACAGAGTTCAAATTTAAAAAGAAAATATAATTTCATAATATACACGTTACAGGCTGTAGAGGATTTTTAGCCGACGTTTTCACCTGTGGTGTCTTGTGTTTGCTGTATTTCCAAAACTTGGCAGAATTTATTAGTTGCTGTAGTCTTTGCTCAAAAGTCTCTCTGTCACTCGGAATGAGCAGAGAGAGGAGTCTCTTTATCCCCAGCAGAGAGCTGGTCAGCATACGCAAATATTTGGCTTCTCTTTCCTCTACTGTCACATTCCTTAAAAGAAAAAAGAACAGAGAGATTGAAATCATGACACTGATTTCCTGTGCACAGACAACTATGCTTTAATGACCTTACTGGACAACTTACTGAGGATCACTGAGTGTGTCTGCTGTTTCCTTCAGCAAAATGTCTTGAAGCACCTGAAGTAAAAGTAACAGTTATTTAATTCAGTCTCATTCCCACCCCAGTTACAGTGCACGTCATTTAATAGGCGTTAAAATCACCCACATTAAGGATCTCATCCTTGCAGAAACCGAGAGCCTCAGGCTGTTTATTGGGTGAGAATGCAGCTTGGAAGGCCTGGCACGCGGCAGAGGCTGCAGGTGTGTAAGTGTCACACTGGGACAGGATCCAGTGTCCCATCAAGCTCTTCAGAAAGGGAGCCAAGCTCCGACGCACTTTCAGCACCAGCTGCTCAAAAGCCTGCTGTGTAGCCTCCCTGATACGACGATCATGATCCTGACAGACAAACAATAAAGATATAATTCTCCTAATGCGCATGCAGTAAACATGAGTACTCTCAGAGTGTGTATAGCTGTTTGGAGACGTGAACAGTAGTCTCAACAAACAGATGAGGTGTGAAACAGATGATGATGGATCAAACAAAATGGTTTCAAAAGGTAGACTGGCACTGCCGAAATGACTGTGGGTGTTAGCAAACACATCTATTTATAATCAATCTCAATTACAAAAATTGGCTGTTCACTGTTTAGGTCACTTCCAATACTTAGAAATGCAGAAATAATAATAAAAAAAAGGTGGTGATGTTCTCTTCCCTGGAAATCCACACCCATCAGGACTCAATCAGCCAACACCATTAGGCATAAAATTAGCTTTTCCTTCAAGGCAGGGGTGGGCAAACGTTTTGGCTCATGGGCCAAAATGAGGTTTGAAATTTGACTGGTGGGTCAGTTCAGTATTGGTGGAATGTAGAATTGCGCAAAATAATTTAAATAAAATCTACAAGAATAAACCTAAACCTCAAGATAATTTGGACCATTTTATGTCTGCCACCATCTAGTGGCCTCAACAGAAATTACAGTCAATTCGCTGTAATGCATGAAACAGAAGAATGGATATCAGTCTTATCTCTTAGTCTCATTAGAGGTTTTAGTATTTCATTGTTAAAGACGCCCTGGTTAAGATTGTAACAAAAGAAACGTGATTAACTCACCACTGCTATCTTGCAGTAAATCCTTGGCCAGTATGGCAGCACCCCTTTAACAACAGAGGCGTCCCGTTCTTGACACATAGCCCCAAAGTCCTGCACAGCCTGAAAAGGTTAGAAATAATAAATAACTATGTTTTATACCAATTGATATGCTGCTGCGTGTTATTCATAATGGCTTTCACTTCACCTTCAGTCTGGTGACAACATCCCTCTTGGAGAGTTTCCTAAGCACCAGGCGAAAGTCAGCGTCTACCAGGTGGTCTATCTCCTCCGCTCCGTGGACAGCGGGAACATAACTCAGCTCCGAGGTCACCGTTGTGTCAAAGCCCACGAACCCCGGAATGATACCGCCCTCCCGAGCCAGTACCTCAGCAGCACGACCACTACTTGACGGCTATTAGAAAGAAATAAACAAAATAAACAAAATGTTTTTATAGAACGATAACACATGTTGGTGAGAACACCATGCCGTTTTTACTGAAAGTAAAATAGTATGTTTAAAGATATTTACAGAAAACGCCGCACGCGGTGTGTTAGCGTTTTACGTAATGTACACATTAGCTCGTGCTAACAGTTTGAAGCTAAAAGACTAACTTTTGACTGTAATTCAACTTACCCGGACATTTCCTTTAGTCCGCTGTTTGTTCTTACCCCCCATTGTCACACTTTTATTTATTTAAAAAAAAATACTACTATTAATCTATGACTTTGGTAGTGAATCTAAGTACTGACATACAGCCCTGTGTGATGACTGTAGTCGCCTGTCTGCCACAGAGTACTTCCTGTTTCTACGTCATTCAAAACTAAGACGTCACCCAGTCCTTCATCTTGGTGGAGTTCCTTTACAGACAAGAACGTTTTGTGATAATCCTGATTTCACTTAAAACCAAATTTACCTAAAATGTATTGTTTCGAATTCTATATTAAAATATAGTACACCAACTTCTAACACACTTAAATAGGTTATTTGGGTGTTGTAGAAGGTGTTGTCCTATATTTGACTCTTGACAAAACTATTGAAGACTCAGCACTTTGCTGTCAGTCTCTGCCCCTACCCTCCTCTATCTCCTTCTGCACTTGTTTCCTAACTACTGGTCTTCTTTTTAAGTGTTCCTCTGTGCAACCTGATTGTAAATCCTCCTCTTGTAAGTCACTTTGGATAAAAGCGTCTGCTAAATGCCTGAATGTAAATTTAACTCATAAAACAGATTAAAATATACTGTATTCTACAGAGCTACTCAACTTAAAATGAAGTTTAATTATTTAAAAGACTTTATTGAAGAAATACGTATGTTAATTGCAACAGGTTTATTTTTTAATTGTGTTAAAATTCCACATCTAAAACAAATGTCATGATTGGTCCACCTGAAAATGGTACATGAGCTTTTTACATAATTGTTTGTCTCCCAGTTATAAATATAAAATTGTGTTAAACAGAAACAGAATAAACTTTTATGTTTAAATAAACATAAAATATTATTTAAAATTTGATGATAGAGGTAATGGCAGAGATCACGCTGTAATTCTGTTACATAAAAAAAAAACATGATTATTATGGTCACTTTAAAATCTTTATCAGGAGATAATAAACATTGACGCAGAAATGAGCAGACCCTTAGATTTGAAGATTTTAGGAGCCATAAAATGAGACACCTCATCTACAGCAGTTTGTCTAAGATCTAGTAATGTTTTTCTTTATTATACAACTAAAGTATAACATATGTTTGAGACTGTACTTTAAAACCTGTCCTTCAAAACGTTAAATTAAACGTGAAGTTTAACATCAAGGTTATTCCTCCTGAACAACAGATGACATGACCACACAGTTAACCCCACCATTTTTATATCGCAGATTACATAATACAAAATAAATATCTAATTTGGCTATATAGCGTTATATTTGACCATATTCATACTTTTTTTTTAAAAAATCCACTTGGACCTGGACATTCTTTCACCTCTGGCATCACTGTGTCTGTTACTTAATACATTTAGTTGGGCCAAACGTTCCTCTAAAGAATTCAACTGGGCCAGATAGATTCAGGTAAAAAAAAAAAAAAAATGAACGTGTATTTTAAAAAAAAAAATTGCAGTATCACAAACACTAATCACAAATTAAACGACATCTGGAGTTTGCAGTAAAATGAAGGTCCATGTTGCTGTTCCAGCACCACACAAGTCTCTTCTAGACACACAGGTGATGCATAGTGAGTTGCATTTTGACAGACTATGGAGAGTAATGGCATGGCTGGCATGAATTCAAGAGATACCTATTGTGCAGAGTCCATCCTTATGTCCTTTAACATGAATCTTACAGTAGCTGATACGTACTGTATATCCACTCTAGTACAATACAAATGTAAAGTAATCATTAGAGTGTTTTTTCTTTGTTAACTTGAACTTCTTCCTTTTGATTTCAATGTCAATTTCTTCATTCATGTCACGTATAAAAATACCAACCACACAGTCATGGCACCCTGGTTTGCACATTAACATCCTTCCAAAGTACATCACACCTACGTCTGAGCTGTTGAAACAACATCTTTTTTTAAAAAAAAGAGAAAATCCTTGTTATTCAGAGCATACAGTCACTTTCGTGTTGAGGTAATTCCTACGTAAAACTTCTTCCCCACACCTGGTCCCATGTCATCCAACTAGCATCTTGGCTCCTGGAGGCAGTACAGTACAGTACTGAGGGTCTAGATCGGGCACGAAGCCTTTAAATTCCCTGGAGGACTCAGTTCCAAACACATCTAGCAACTGTCGGTTCATGAGAGCAAACCTAGGACGAAAGAAACAAAGTCATGTCTAAATGGTTACAAAAAGGACAAATGACTGACATTCAACCCGAACATTTTCTATGAGCTTTAATTGCGTTGAATGAATGTTCTCACATCATCTATTTGTTCATACCTGCCCTTTGTTAAACGCAGCATGAACTTCCAGTATGAAGGCCGGAGGTTCTGCACCTCCATGACAACCTGTGCAACACACAGACGAGTCATACATTCATTGAGGAATCACTGTGGGACAACTCTGTTGTTTTGAATGTGCTGTACAACAATGTTGGACTGGATCAGTTTAAAATCCAACACTGGAGCTTTGCCAATGGCTGAGAACTCTTTCCATTTATTTATTTTACCCAATTTTTCTTAGAACTCTTTGACTGGTACACTGGTTACTTACTGCTTGGAAACAGATAGCAGTGGAGATGGTGTAGATGAGAGCGTCTGCATGAGGGAAGTATGGGAAGTGGCCCGCCTCGATGCCCTTAAAGTACATGGTCTGAGGACAGAGATCATTACGTGATCTGTTAATGATAAACTAACTAACGGGAGAAACAGACAGAACGACCAGATCAGATCTGCAAAACAAGTGTTTTCTGATTATGTGCATTTTGCCATAGAATTAAACATTAATGTCATTACAATGATATATTAGCATCATAATGTTACATATTCACATAAATATCTCTCTGGTCTTTTATAATAATTTATATTATAATATTAATATGTTTTTCAATAACATTAAGAGAAAATATAGGTTTTCATATTTTTGATGTTTTTGGCATATAGCACGATTAACTGAGTTTTCATTCATCCCTTACCTCCACCAGCTTAGAGAAGAGATACATGGATATTGTTGTGCTTTTGTAGAAGAACATGGAAAAACCAGCCAAAAAGCCTTTAAAAAGAATGGAAAAAGAGAGAACCGTTAAATCAGGTGAACGTGACTCATGACAACATCCAGAGACAAATCTCTGCAGGGACATATTACACCACTCCCTTATTACCAGCTATAAGTGCATGGAGTTCATCATCAATGTCACGAAGCCAGCGGAGGAGGCAGCTTGTTCCCTGAGTGAAGAAGAGGCTAATTACAATACAGGTTTTACGGGTTAATATTACAAAAAAAAGACAGGAACCATTGAGTCATCAGTTAGCATCACACAAGGCTGTGTGAGAGAAAAAAAGAACACACATGTAACTGAAATAAAAATAATTACCTTGTATATGCTGACAAAAAATCCCAGAAAGGCTCCTAACTGGAAGTTCTCCTTGTTGTACAAGAGAGAGAGGAGGCGCGAAGGTTTGGTGAAAATCTGTCTGAGTGCGGAGGGCATTTTAAGACAGCATTGAATCAGATATCCAATACTGAACATCCTGACAAATCCCTGCACAACAAAAAGACAGAGAGTATTTGGTACAGTGCTTGTAACATAGAAAGAATGAATGTTAAAGGTTGATGTCTAAATCTTACCTTCGCACAGTAAGAAATGCAGTTGTCATTGTAGTGTTTACAACATCTGTGTCTCGGACCACGTTTGCATCTGCAGAATTAAAATAACGATCTTGTCGCCACTGTGCACAAAGTCACACATTTCTGCCGAATGGTGTGTGTTATCTCACATTGTTTCCAGCAGTTTCCTGGTGTTAGCAACCAGTGTTCTCCTGCTGGAGCTGAGTCTTTCTGCCGACCTCTGGGAATCCTCCGTCTCTAACGCTGCCGTTCTCAGAGGGGGTCTTACAGAAGCATGTTCTGCTGTGCCAGAATGAGCAAGAATTTCTTCTTTACCCACAATGAATCTGTGACAAAAAATGACATTTAAACATGTGTCTGCTTCACCAGGAACCTGATGCATCTGTGCAAAAAAGTGGAACTTACTTCAACGCAGAGAAGGCAAAGCCATTAAGACCTTTTCTACTCCTGTAAAATAAAGCATAACATTGAACACATGCACAAATATGTACACATACTATACACACTAACTACATATATATATATATGCATATATGTCCACTGCATTTAACTGTACTGACCTGAAGTAGAACATGTAGATTGAGGCAGTTATACAAAAGAGAAGAACCTAAAACAAGAAAAACAAGATCAAAATGTTTACGCAGTTTGGTTGGTTAGGTTTAGAGCTGTATAACTTAAAAACAAAACTTTAGACTTCACTGCCATTCATAGTCACTGACTATGTGATTCCAATCAGGTTATATATGGATTATTGTGTGCACAGACTTAAAGCTTGTAATGTAAATCTCTCAAAGGCTAAAAACTGCTCTTTTAAAAACCTTGGCAGTTTGGAAATGGGTAGAAAACTATACCATCACTGTGCAGGTGCAATAACTAAATAATAAGATTGGAAAAATTAAACATAAAACAAAAATTTACAAGGATATTTAACACTAATTGTACTTTACTAATGAGGTAAAGGCAATGACACACGAACACATTCTTCTGAGATGTTCTTGGCCGCTGTTGTTTTTTCTAGCTGACTGCACTCTTTGTTGCTTTGGGCCCCGTCTCTGTTAGGACGTCTTTGTTTAACATGAACTGCAAGGTCACTCTGGTTTGAACGACTGAATGCGTGTTACAATACTTGAAGGAATATAAAATGCAACACACTAGAATTTATTAATTTACAGTAAAGGACCAAACAAATAGAAACATCGGGACGGCAAGATTGAATGAATGACAGAGAGATATTGTACGAGGTCTGGGATGTTTAGAGAGAGGTTCGACGTCATCCTGACAAAAGAAAGTCTGCCCAGACTTTACAGCCACTGCATAGATACAGATCCTCCACTATTACTGCAGTACTGCCAAGTCCCTCGACTTCAGCCTCAAACAGACTTCTGTGTCGTCTTACCTCGCCGTGTTTAATTGGTTTGATGAGGCCGCGTGTAATACCCATTCTGAACAAACTCTCTGTGGCCTAAAAAAATACATTCAACATCAAACATTACAATGTGTAACAGAAGCAAACGCGTCTGTTGACATACATCACGTCATATTCAAATGAAATTCTTACAAGGTTTGTCATGTATATTGCCAGCAGCCCCCGCCTATAGGGACAGATATACAGAAGAAAAAAAGGAAAAACAATATTTACACAACCATACCTTATATAAGAAGTGAAAAGTACACAACGTGTACAGAGGTAGTATCTCACCTGCTTTTGCGCTCCAGAAGAATAGCAATTAAGGAAGCAGGAAGTGCTGGACCAAACCCAGACGACCAGGAGTAGAATCCTCCTAACAGTTTCCTGGAAATATTATAAAGGTACCTTTTTCTAACATTTGTCAGTAAAAAGTAAAAAATACAAAATGTTATGTAAAAATATGTCTGGGTAACTTTGAACATTTATTTTAAGTAACGTAAACTCTACATATAATTGACATCTTGTGTTGGATGCTCATTTAAGGTCTAAGTGCCATTACATGTTTGGTTTCTGTGACAAACCTATATCTTATTACAGGGTTTAGTTGTTTTTACGCACCTGAAAATGCAGAAGAAAGCCATGTAGAGACCCCCATTGGCGGTGAGGAAAGAGGTAGACGTTAGAATCTCAGGAAGAAGTCGATTTAAATAGTAGTCTTTTTTCCTTCTCCTTAGAATTGCTGCTATCTGCAAAACACATACGATTTATATTCACATGAGCTAAATTTCAAAGAAAACACGCCTCACTGTTCACACCATTTATTTCTGAAGAATTTAAATCTTAGTGCCACCTGATACAGTGTCACGCCAACATGGCAGATCAAAAGCTTAATAGCCTTTTTAATTAGGTCACATTCACTTGATCAGAGGTCACCATGGTATTAACCTGCATTATGCTTCCGGTTGTAAAGTATACCAGTAGAACATACGTGTCAAACTCAAGGCTTGGGGGGCAAATGCGGCCCGCCAAGCCATTTTGTGTGGCCCGCGGGAGGTTAAGAAGCATTTAGTAAAGTCCATGCAGTTTCTTAAACTTAATTAAAAAATTTATTATACAGCAATGAACAATATTTGTAGCTTTTTTTCAGTCATGATGTATGGTTTAGAGTTAGTAGCAATAGGCAGAAGACAGGAGACGGAGCTGGAGGTGGCAGAATTAAAGATGCTAAGATTCTCTTTAGGAGTGACAAGAATGGACAGGATCAGGAATGAGGTCGTTAGAGGGACAACACAGACAGGAAGGGTTGGAAAAAAAGCGAGAGAAGCCAGATTGAGATGGTTTGGACATGTGCGCAGGAGGGACAGTGGATACATTGGTAGAAGAATGTTAGAGATGGAGCTACCAGGTAGGAGACAAAGAGGAGATATATGGATGCAGTGACGGAGGACATGCAGATAGTTGGAGTCAGAGTAGAAGATGCAGAGAACAGGGAGAGATGGAAATCAATGATTTAATGTGGCAACGCCTGAAAAAAGGGACAAAGCCAAAAGATGAAGATGAACAATATTTGTAACATGAATAAACAATAATCAATTGCAGAAATATGTATTAGTCTGTTATGGAGTAGTTACATCTATACCAGCAGTCCCCAACCTTTTTTGTTCCAAGGACTGGTCAGAAAGTACCACCTGTTACTACGGACCAGTAGCAAGGTGCTGAGCATTGAAGAATCAATACATTTTCAAAATAAAACTACTTTTAGACTCTATTCTGACTCTATTTACAACTGGCCCTTCAAAGGGAATTGTATTGCTAATGTGGCCCCCGGTGAAAATGAGTTTGTAGAACTTTAACAACTCTAACCCTGAGAACACATTTGCTCTTGTCTTTAAACATTTAAATATTGACTGAAAAAGGGATAAAGTGCTTTACTGAAGGTCCTGACTAAACTGGTCTATCTGGTATAACCCACGAGCACATCATTTCAGCCCAAAGGCCGACTTTGGTTAACGACCCTGCGTATGAACGACAGCGCGTTAGACATTTCATTAAAAAAAATAACTGTCACAGTGCAACACAAGGATTGATGTTCAAAATAATAACATTTTGGTTTCTGAGTACCTCATAACTTATTTCTTCTCCATTTGGAGACGCAAGGTGAAGTTAGCACTTTCCTAAACAGTCAGACATTCCGCAATAAACGTTCAAGTGCATGGATCAATAGACAAGTTATCTTTATCTTTAAATTATCGTTACGATGTTTTATTGCACCAAAAGAACACTACTTCATGTTAGCAAGCTAACTTTAGCACAAGTGTCCACAAGTCCCGGCGCAGCTTAAACAGTCTAACGTACCAGATAAAGAGGAGCGTATATTTTAAAGGAAACCTCCATGGCTCCCCGTGTTACGTCCACGGCAGACTGAAGGCATGACGGGTCCCATGTGTGCCCGACTTCGTAGCAGTTATGTGGTATTTTACTCAGCACACCCATGGCTGTGCTCTCCGGCAACCCACAGTTGCAACAACGCGTACTGTACTGTACGTACGCGCTCATAGCGAGGCAACCGCAGTAACGTGACACCGTTGTGAACGTGCACGCTGCCACGACGAACTGTGTGTGTTGTTCAAACTTGGTCAGCAGGTGTCGCCCGAAGTCCTTTGACACAGTTTTAATAAATTAAAGAAAAATGTTGTTACTTGAATCACTTTTTTAGTTTCATTTTGGCCTCGCCCTAAATATACCCTTGTCGTGTTTCTGTTTTTTCAGTTTCTGAATTTGTTCATATTTCACGCGGCGTCAGTTTCTGAATTTGTTCATATTTCACAAAGGACGCAAGGTTGGTCGAATATTACACTGTTTTGGCCGTTAATTTGGAGAAAACTGAATTCTTAAATGACTCATTTAATAAATGATTATCCACGTGCGGCCCACATTTTGCGCTTGACAGAAAATACACTTCGAACCTCTCTTATCCAAGCAATCCCATGAGGGGGCCACTTGGACATGTTGGTTGTGTCCTGAAGGCTTACAAAACAAAAGGTAATTGCAGTGACGCATCAAAAACATCACTTAAGGCTTTTAGGGTCAAATAATCCACTGCAAACGATCTCAGGTCTTTACCAGCGTGTACGCACACGCTCGCGCACACGTACAAAGTCCTATGCTTACTCATCAATTCTGTTAAATGGACAGCCAATAGAGACGACATAGTGCCTAACGTTGCATTTTCGTAGTAATTAGGGTCAATTATGTTCATTTCCCAGCAGGCGATAGCAGTAACCCAAGTGCTTAGGAAAAAATCATTGAATGGCATCATCAAGGAGGCGTCAGTCTCCTGGCTTTACTTTCATTCACTCACTTGAATCACTCACTTTCATTTGGGTCAGCAGCGTACCGGAATACGGGCGTAAACGCAGTTTCTTACATTTGGTTCCCTCCAATCTGAACCCACCCAGCCCCGCTGCTGATAAGCAGAGTCTGAATGAGCTCAACAAGTGAACATGGATCGCACTTTACCTCTGTTGGCGACCTGTTTGCTCTTGCTGCTACCATGTA